AGGCGATGAAATCATCGCAGTTGTTGGAGGTATCAAATTCCAGCGCGTACCCCGCACCCTCCTCCAGACCCTACTTGCACCAAAAGCTATCCCAGCTCGTGGTGGTGCTAAAGCAGCTCCAGCTCCAACCAAAGCCATTGCATCCAAACCATCAAAAGCTGTCTCCAAGCCTGATCTCAAAATTGTCAGTAAACCAGTTTCAAGGGGTATCTTCTCCAAAGCATTGGCAATCATGGCTGAGGAAATCGGATGCGATATCGCTGAGTTGGCAGGCCCAATGAGATTCTCTGATATGGGCGTCGACTCGCTTCTTGGTTTGAGCATTTCTGGCAGATTCCGTGAAGATCTCGAGATTGACTTCCAAAGCAGTGTCTTTGAACATGAGCCTACTGTAGATCATCTCAAAGCTTACATGACCAGATTTGAAGACGATAACGGTGCTGAAAGTTCTGGAATGTCTACCCCGGAAATGGTTTCTAGCGATTCGAGTGAAATTGGGGATGACGGGTTTGATCTCGTTGAAAGTGACCCTGAAAGCTCTGCCGCCGATGCCGATGGCGATAGCGAAAATGCAATAATCATTCAAATCATCAGATCTACCATTGCGGAGGAGATGGGCGTTGAGATTGAGGAGATAACTGATAACACAGACCTGGCTACCATGGGTATGGATTCTCTCATGAGTTTGAGCATCTTGGGTGCGCTCAGAGAGAAGACTGGCCTGAATCTAAGTTCCGAGTTGTTGGTCGAAAACACCAGCGTGGAAAAGATTGAAACAACTTTGGGTCTAAGAGCAGCCAAGCAGCCAAAGGTTGTTGAGATTAAGAAGACAACAAAGATTACTAAGGTGACTTCCGCATCAGTACAACCAGCTGCTCCAACTCAAGTCGCCAAACCCATCAATGTATCTCAATACCCTCCATCGAAGTCTATCCTTTTGCAAGGTAACCCAAAGACCGCAACTCGCACACTTTTCCTTCTTCCAGATGGTTCTGGTGTCGCTTCTTCTTACGCCCCACTTCCTCAAATTGATCAAGATCTAGCTGTATTTGGTCTCAATTGCCCTTTCATGAAAGACCCTACAGATTTCAATATCGGTGTTCCAGCAGTCACTCAAATTTACCTCGCCGAAATCCAACGTCGTCAACCACATGGACCATATCTCCTTGGAGGTTGGTCTGCCGGGGGTGTGCTTGCATACGAATGCACCCGTCAGTTGATTGCAAAGGGTGAGAAGGTCGAGAAACTTGTCTTGATTGATTCACCATTCCCTATTGGACTTGAAGCCCTACCAGCTTCCTTCCATCAATATTGTGCCAAGGTTGGTCTTCTTGGCGATGGTGGGCTTGAGTCATTGCCAAAATGGCTCCTTCCCCATTTCTTCTCCACCGTACGCGAACTCACTGCCTACTCTGATCACTTGGGATCTCTACCGTCCATAAACACTGTCAACATGCCACAAACCATCGCCATCTGGGCTCGTGATGGTATTGTCCACAAGGAAGATGATCTTAAGCCAGAGTGGGATCCCAAGGTGAGGATGCCCAACTCTATGGACTGGTTGACTCATGATCGCAAAGATCTCGGACACAATGGATGGGAGAAGTTGGTCGGAGAGGGAAACATCAAATGTATGAGCACAGATGGAAATCATTTCACGATGATGAGAGATCCAATCGTAAGTTAATTCTCTGAGGTTCAATGTATGTGGGGTAATTTGCTGACTAATCATTGCAGACAAACGACTTGGCCAAGCTCATGAAGCAAGCTCTTAAGATGTAAAATCAACTTTTATATCATGGCACAATTGCCCTTAGATTTCATGTTTTTCCTTATGATTAGCAGTATTATTTTGGGGGTTTGGGTATGGGCTGGACAGGAGTTTATTTTTACACTTGCATACGATTCATAATCCTGCACGATTCAACGCGTTTGCACGTCTAAGGCGTACTTTGGGGGATTCAAGCGATAAAACAAATCGCTCTTGTTGTTTTAGAAAATTTCTTATAGTAGAAACTTTAGATAGTATAGAATTTTATATTTCATAATATACTTATATATAAGCTCCCACTTTCGTCGTGATGTTGAATGCATTTCTCTCGCATTCGAAAAACTTCGCTTCGCCATTATACACTGAGTCTGGCTGTTATCAATATCATGTGCACGTGAGGAAGTTTTTATTCATTCCAAATTTCTTTTGCGCTTTAAATTATTATGTTTGATTAAGCCGCGTCATGAGAAGTAAAATTCTCAAGAGGCCGGTTGTGTGCGAACAACTGTGAGCCGTCATCCGTAAGACTCTGAAAAGCTGGTTATGTGCACTAGAGACTTGAGATTAGCTGGCAAGTAACCAGGCATCTGTTTACCATCTTTGTTTTCGCGAAAGATAATCTTCGAAGATAAGAATTATGCTGAATAAATGCTGTATAGTGATACACATGGTATCTGGCCAACTCAATTTCGTCTCTAATGGAAGGAATTATGAGAGTCAAAAGAGCCAGAAATTGCATAAACGAAGGAAATATCTCTATCTCTCACTTTAGTTCAAGACTGGAATCATTCCCACTTCGATTACTTCCCGGGCTGACCAACAAAAAGTACAGATTCAGCCCGATGATAATTAAAACTCAGGCCGTCACTTGCTATACCGTCGCAAAGCCATCGCTCAGCTAAGACTGGCTATACTTTGTCAATCGACTGTGATCTACTGCGAAATTTGATTATTATAATCGAAATATGTAAAGGATGCCAAACATGGAGGTTTTCATGGATAACTATAATCTTTTGAAGACGTGCTTTCACAACTCAACACACAGCACGGTTGCTTCTATGAGCTGAATGCCGCCTGTCACCCATGATGTTGAGAACAACTTCAACTTATCGGTTCAGCAAGGTATAGATATTATATCACTCCCCGCATCTAGATGCTTCCAGGCCCGTTCACATTCACAAGAAGATAGCCCCTTGGACTTCCCCTTCCCCGCAAAGTCTTCCAGAAGAAAATTTGGCTTCTTTGTCAAGAATAAGTTTGGTTGCGCTATACTTGTAGTTCAGAATTTTTTTGGCATTTGAGAGTCAGACATTGTAAATACGACAATTAAGGGATGAGATGAGTCGGGGCGATAAAGGCTATAGTTGGTAACAGAGGTTCAGTCTATTAAATGCGAAATCTCTTTCCTGTAATCTCCAAAGGTTTCAATCGCTACTCATACTCAGTCGGTGTGTCTCATAAACCCTTAAATGTAGATGCATTCAAGCAAATACCAGCTTTGAGTGAGCTTTTAGTTATGGACAGTACAGTTTGAGCCAAATTGAATATCTAGAAAGTCTCTCTGATTGATCTCTCACGTCAGAATCACTCAATTTGTAAAATAAGTCTACACATCTGTTACATAGCTCAAATGCTCGTGCTCGGGTATCTACATACTCACTGGACAGCCTTCTTAAGCTGGGTATGCACAACCTTGACACTTCAGTTGGTTGAAAAGCCAAACAAATTATACCCTTCAACATGCGGCTATGCGAATCCCGCAGAATAGCCATCTACATATCAAGCTCGAGAGGCCTAAATTTAAGCCTCTCTCGAAATCCTCATACTTAGCCGATTCGGGCTATATATCTGATGTCTTTCGCGATATAACAACTGTCTATTTAATTTCCCTACCGTACACATACTGCAAATCATGACTCTACCAGACATCAACATCAAAGACTAAGTGTCTAGAACCAGGACAAAGCTTGGCTATCAGCACTGGCAATGGCGAGGTTTGGATAAACAGAATTTGTAATCGATATTCTATTGAAGACTAGCTCCTGTAGATGATGATTTCAATCGAGAGATCATTACTAGACACACATTCATATGATGCAGAACCATCCTTCAGCTACTCCGTCAAAGCTAAGAAGGAAGCGGATAGAAAATAGCAGTCCCAAATATGGATCGATTGACCGAGTATGGTAACCTTTCGTAGACACCGAGCAGAATTGATAGAATATAACACTTACTTTTTCCTCCCCGCGCAACAGAACATCTGAGTTCGAATTTCGAAACATCCCATGTGGAACTATACAACATGTACATCCCAGAGTAGATCAGGGGTTCAGATCGTGCATACCATAATGGCGGGTCGATACCCGCCCCGGAATCTTGCATGCACCCACCATTTCTCTTCATCTCTTATGTTGCACATCTAAAGATTGTTTACTTTCACTCGCTCCACCAATCAATCTTGAATGCGAAACTTCAACCCCTTACTGTAATTTTCGCGATATCTGGAGATTTTTGTTGCATATCTAGACATTGTTTACTTCTATTTACTTTGGATAAATGAACCAATCATCTTCCACAATTTCTCCCGAATACTTTAAAGTAAAGAATATGTATAGCCCTATAAGGCAAAGATTGTTTCTACTATTCGCTGGCACGGCTGGCAGCTGTAACTAGATGCCGCTAAAGATGAAGTGGGGTAGTAAGAGGTAAATCAGTGGGTACACCGCTCTTTGTACAACTCGGTGAGGGGTGTTTGTTGGTCATTGCTTTAAGAGGGTGGTGATCAATGAGCACGGGGAAAGGTGGAATCATGAAAGAGATCACGAATAAGTTGGTATGTAATGATGCGTGGCAAAAAGTGTCGCTAACGCAAATGAAAAACATGAAACATAGGCAGAAAAAGGAATGTAAAGGGTACCAAAACCGCATGAATACTGATGAAACACACCAAGCATGAATGTCAAATTTTAGCTATTGTAGAATTCAGAGACTGAATCAAGCATCCCTCCATACCCAAGAAACTCCCTCACCACTCCTTTCCTAACCGAAAAACCCCTCTAAGCCTGCTTAGGTACTCAACCTTCACAACAAGTTTCTGTCCACTGACGCCCCTCTTTCAAATTATCTAAAACCTTTCGCGCAGTTGCAATATCTCCTTCTACAATCTCTACCGGCGGAGCGGTAACTACATACTTCTTTTGCAAAGCATCTTGCAAGAAATCATTGAAAATCATGCACCTACATCTTGAGCATCGGTACCAAGACGAGCAGCCACCGTCATGAAGACTTCCACATCTTCAAGTCTTGGATATTCTTCTGGTGAAGGAACAGTCAAGACAAATTTGCCCTTACCATTCCCCGTAGCCGATAAAATATCAGCCAAGAGTTGAGAAGTATCATTCTCTGTAATAGCGTCAAATCCCGATGTGAGCTCCACATCCGAAGCTTTAATTTCCTCTATAATATTTCTCACAACTTCCGGATCCCCCTAATCGAAAGTAGCGGTTGCATCAATGGATTTGAAGTATTCGTGATGTCTTTCACTAGCCGTCGTGAAGACTTCACATCCCGCCAGGTTACCAAGTTGTATAGTGGCAGTCCCTACAGACGACTCGCCTCCCCAAGCCAACATTCCTTCATTTCTTTTCTCCCTTTTCAAAGCATTCTCAAAAATTCTAGTAGTAAATAGAACTCCACAGCAGCCGTAGCCATAGCCATGGGAGAAGTACTCGCATCCTCAAAGCTCACATTATCCGAAATCTTCGTCGCTGCAATTTCTCTAAGCATGGTACAGGATTGCCAAGCCCATAATCTATCTCACTGTTGTAAAAAAGAAAACTGTCGCGAATCCAGTGATACTCTCACTGTTGTAAAAAAGAAAACTGCCGCGAATCCAGTGATACTCTCTCTGACTTTAAATCTCGTAATAGAGAAACCATTGACCAACGGATTCGATAGTGCCTGAAAAGTCACTGCCGAGGACGTTGGGATAGGAAGTGACGAAGAGATTTTAGGCTTGGATTTTCAAATCGAGCGGGTTGACAGCTATTGTATCATTGCGAATGAGGAGCTTGTCGAGGCCGGGGGCAGGGCTAGGTCGGTGCTCGATAGTCATTTAGCTTTCGTCGTCTTGATTATGGTATTGAGGTCGACTTGAAATTGAGGAGCAAGATGCATATGGTGTGTTCTTCCAGTACAAGAGTTCTGGTAGACATATATTATTCTACAACAAGAGGTCATTGCCATACCATTGTGGGCATACGGAACGTACCTCGCCGCAAACACGCGCCGTGATTTACGATACACCATCAAATTTACAAGAACCGAGTGCTCTGGCCTGCGTAATGGTAATCCAAATGCTAAGAAGCAGCCACGAATCCCATACTTACCCATTGAAGTTCACGGAATTTTCCCCACAGGATGAATTAACTCGGCTAACATAGGTAAACAAATCATCACAGGTTTGTGATAATGTGCTAATACTTGAACATAAGGAAGTGTTACTATGACTAGTGGTTGAGGTAACATCACGTGAAGGCGGACTAGTCCTCTAGTATTCTCTAGTGCCAAATTGAGTTTATGCTGCATTTATAAAATCTGTCATTTTTACAATACATAGCTCAGTACAACAACAGAAAGACCTTTGATCTTGTGACATGGTATAATACAAACGAGTGACAAAATATCATGGAGACACCGCGCAAAAACGACTTTCTGATACGGACCGAGAGGCCCAAACTTTCAAAACATATCGGATGACGTGAAGAAGGCTACGAACAAGAGTCATAGAAAGTTTTTTCAAACAAGTAAGAAGTGTCCAAAGAACTTTCTTTGCACAATCATGTATCAATTCTAGTCCTTGCTAACAAATGGTCCATACAGTCCATGCTAAAGATATAGTCACTCGTATTCAAGACTGGGTGAAAACTATACAGGTTAAACTTTCTTGTGAGCGGGAAAGAAGAATTGCTCATAGAAATGAAGGAATCAATCTATTATACGGTTACTATGTAGAAAGGAAATTCATCTTGAGATCTCAGCGAAACTCGTGTGACCATCACCCCAAGAAGATGTATGCTCTGTCTCAGAAGATGATGGAGCAGCACAAAAGATTGGTGGCAAGTGAAAGAAACATAAACGAAGTGGAGGATATAAAGGAGATTGCCCGAATCGCGATGAAGAATGTTCCTTACCGCGCCAAACACTCTTTCAAAAGCAAGAAAATTCTTCCTAGGGTGCTATTGAAGTCCCGACGTGACACTTGCACAAGAGACAGAGAACAGAAATTCAATGAGGGAGTATTGCCAAACCTTATCTTCCATCGTGTATTATCCGGCCGTAGGAAACCGAGGTCTCAGAGAACATGGCTGAAAGCCCAAAGACGAAGGAGAAAAGATCAATCGACGTTTTTACCCAGTCCACATGCGATTAATCTCTTCGAAAGAATTCGGCCACATCACCTAAATCCAGTCCCCCTGGACCAGAAAATAGCCTAATCAAGTTCATCACAGGGTCCGAATAACAAATTTTCCAAGTTCACAAGTCTGCCGCCTGAACTTCGTCAAACGATATGGAAAGCTGCCCTTCTGGAAGGTCGCCATGTCCTTGAAGACGATTGGAAAGATGGACGATGTCACCTTCTACCATCACCTGAAGTGTCTAATTCTAAGAATCCCCTTCAATTGGCTTGCAGAGAATCTCATGAAGTTGTACAAGAACGTTATACTTTTGTATTCCAACCAATGAGTGATGAGATGACGGCACAAGACCCTGAAAACATTACCGCACTTAACCTTCTACCTCTGAACCCGGACAAAGATATCGTACATAGATACTTATTGTTAAAGGCGAAAGACATTTGGGCACATGAATTCTGGGGACTTACTCCAGTCAAACATCTGTCGCTGGATGGCGATTATTTCTATGATAGCGAAAACGATCATGACACCCTGACGTATCACGATGAAATGGACGCAATCGAATGCATAGAAGCTGCGTGTCCCAATCTTGAAATTCTGACAATCAGAGTCGAGGGACATGGTTTTATTCGGAACCTCTTAGGATACGATACCCGTGTCGACTCTGACTTCATAGAGTTGAATTCTAGTTTCTTTGACCATGTGGCAGCCACAATATCCAATGGAAAGAATTGCCCCTTGTGGAAGATACGGCGCAATGAAGATTTGAGAGACATATACACAAAACTCGCAAAGCTTCTCGATCGTACCAGGGGAAGAAACTCTGAGTATTGGAAGCGAGTGAATATGAGGGTCGTTTTGTTACAGAAGCCGGTCTACGACTGGGCATACCGATCAATGTGTAAGGAGTTATCATCTTTGCTTGGATATGTTCATGGAACATAGAGGATTCTCATTTTGGGGTCAATCGGGGTTTCGTGAAGAGGAAGGATTTAAACTTTGAGGTGTCTCATTTGTATCGTATATTTTGATACCTGGCTATAGAAGAATGACTGGTTAAGGAATTCAAATGTCAGGCTAGGTACTTTAGTTCGAAATAGATTCTTGTATTGGATTCTTGAATGACAATTGCAATGTATGGTACAAATCTCCAAGCAAAGAAGTTCACTGAGCACTGTTCCGCACCCTTTCGTGAAGCCACAGCAGCCACAGCAGCCACACATGAATCAATCGATATGTACCTTTTCACACCAAGGCTGAATCATAGCCTCATCAACTTTTTCTAGATCAAACCTCAACCTCATCTAGAAATCATTTATCTAGGGACTCGCTATTTCTTGTCTCATATATATTATATAATATGCCACTCTTCACTCTTCCCATATCTGATACATCTCAAACATCTGCCACCACTCCCCACATCCACTTCGCACCTCTCTCTATACGATCCCAAAAACGAAAGCGGCGCGATAGCGATAGCGATCAAGATGACGAGTACAATAATGATTATATTGCGAACACAAATACCAATTCAGGAAAAGGAAAGGAAACAGGTGACGGAGAACCATCATACCCTTCTGCAGAAAATACCAATCCCTTGAGTTTAACGCCGGCAGAGGTGATGCAATATCGATTGGCTGGCTTGGGACTCGATAAAGAATTACCATCAAAAACTGGAGTAAAAAATTGGCCGCATAGAGGATTACCTTCCAGGTATTCTGTAATTTCCGATGATCGTGAATCTGCTGTCAGGTCTCGAGACGATGAGGACGAAGATTCCGAAGAGGAATCTGCCAAAAGCCGAAGAGAAAGGGAAAGACGTAAGAAGGAAGAAAAGAAGACCGGAAGGTCGAATTTGAAGATTCAGCATCTAAGTGTACTGGTTGCGATTATGATGAGGAACTTGGAAGAGGGGGATATGGAGAGGGCAGGACGGGCTTGGAGTTTACTTTTACGGATGCAGATTTCGGGAAAGGGAATTGAAATCAGGAAGACGGGGTTTTGGGGTATCGGAGCAGAGTTACTGATGAGAGGTGTCACAAACAAACAGAGAAAAGAATGGTGGGAAGAGGATATGGGAGAAAGGAGTGATGGTGATGATGGGAACAATAATGTCGGGGAACCAAAGGAAGAAGAAGACGGGAAAGGAGAAGATAAAGGATGCGAAGGAAAAAGATATGGTACAGCTGAAGGACTTCTCAAAGTGAAAGATTATTACGAACGTCTTATTCTTCAATATCCTTACAAACGACAATTCCACGGTTCGGTTACTGCGCTCGATTTTTGGCCTGCGATGCTTGGGTGCGAGATTTATGGAATACAATTTGAGCATAAAGATGGTTTACGAAAGATTGCCAAGCAAGCAGAGAAGGACGAAGATGGGGATATAAGTGATAGTGACATTAGCGACGAAGAAGAAGATATGGATAATAATGCCGAAGAAGGGGATCCAGGGGATAAAGCATTTTTAGCCCATCAACGTCGCCAAGACCGTCTCCTCAAACGACGAAAAGAAAAGCGCTGGGAAGAAAGAGATGAAGTTCGACGAGCAGCATTAGTAGCCACAGAATTGGTAGCTCAAAGAATGGATGAATTAATGACGACACCTCCATACTCTGATTCTAGAGTCCTGCTTCGTCTAAGAGGAATGGTAGCGCTATACATTGGAAATCTATGTGTACCGGAAAAATGGGAAGGTGATGAGGAATGGTTGGGTAAAATGAGAGGTGGAGCGATGGAGGCTGATAGAAGGTTTTTGGGACGGCAAAGAGAGGCAGAGGTTAGAAGGGGAATGGAGAAAAGGGAAGATGAGAGGAGGAAGGCTAGAGGCTTGTTTGGGAAGATTGGGGTCGAGTGGGATGATGGGGATGAGGGGATGGATTTAGATATGACTTTGGAGGGATACGAAGGGGATGAATGATCTGGGATTGTATGTCCATTAGAGGTGGATATGTCATCTGGGATTGGCCTACCAAACATTAAGGAGTCCTGGAATAGGTGGAGTTATAGGATAGATACCCCTTTTATCTTTATTTTGGTCGTTAGGGTCTCGTAACTGTTTTGGTTTACGAAAATGTTTCTTCATATTGATCTATTACTTTCTCACCGACTTATTTCGAGGTTCCTTTCGCCGGTGTACATTGACTTAGCTCATTGATCTTCCATAAGGCTATGAAGTTTTACTAGTCAAGAGACCGTAATTGATTTACATGGGCATATGTGGATATGTCATTTCAATCGTCAACTTGAAAGTCACTGAAACCAAGGCATGAGATAGAAAGTCAAATATAACAGTAAAATTTCTCAACATTCGTCATTAATTCTTTTCTTCATTAAGTAATCTATTCATCGATTGTACCCGATAGTGGTATGGTATCGTAAAACCCTGTAACCTTTTCCAAAACGCCCATTAAATGCTCATTACCATTCATGCCGCTCATAAATCATATGTTTGCCTTATCTTCTCTCATAAAGACTAGTTCCCACCTCTCATGCGCTGTAGACGCTCCAATCGATAGCAGCTACATCATCGTAACAGCTAACTGTTGCGGCGGAAGCATCTTCCGCTCCACTGCCCTCACTACATTGAGGCAACAATGCAACATCTGAACATCCAGCTGGGGTCTCTTGGCTATATCCTCTGTAGAAGAGTTGAATAGCAGGACCATATAGAAGCGTAGTGTTGCAAGCGTAGAAAGTTTCTCCCTGGTATCCATGGAGTTGAGTGGTTTGGGATGGAGATGCAGTAAGTCCCACATAAGGTTGACCAGCTCCTGCATTGATTTCTACCGTCGAACGACCGGAAGAAGAAGATGCGGGATCGGAAGGTGTGATGGTGAGGGATTCGGGGAAAGAGTCGGGTTCGCTGCCGGAATCGGTAATGGTGGAGGAATTGCCGAAGCGAACATCGGTGGCGGTGCCGTTGATGTAGAAAATGCGGGGATTGGCTTCGGTGTTATCTTCGGCAAGTACTGCATATGCGGTTCCGGCGCCGGTGTGATAGGATTCAAGAACGAAGTCGTTGATGGCGAGATCGCCGGAGGTAACGTTTGCCACCAGTGTGAAGTGAGTGGATGTGGATTTGGGTGGGGTGGAGTAGGTTTGTCGTCTGGTAGGAGCGGCGGAGGTGACGGAGGTGAGGAGAGCAAGGGTGCTCAAGATATTGGTGGTTGAGAATAACATTTTGATGAGTTTGTGTTTGTGTGTATGTGGTATGTGGTTTGGTAAAGTATGAAAGGATATATGTGAACCTTATGTAGCTAAAGTTTATGGTATAGCTGCTTCTAGTTACTTCTTCCGAGGAGGCTTTGATGTAAACACTGCCTTGATGATAAAGGATAAGTTACTTAGGAAAAGGCTTTGCTTTGATGGTGAATGATGAATTGAAGTGGCTTGTATGATAACTCAAATGGAGAGCTTCTTCGATACTTTTATATTATATCGCATTCCCAATCACCCCACAATGATCTTGTACATCATACGGTCAATATCTTGGAAATGGCGGGTAAATAGTAATGGTACTACCATTAATCGTGTTGGTGGCTGGTCATCGCCCCAGTGTTCTTTCCTAGTTCTCGACGATCGCCCGCATCATCCACTCAGAATCATCACAGGCGTAAGTTTAAATATATTGAATACATTAGTCTTCAGGTACGAAAGAGAACCCTGAAAAGGCTGTGAACCCACCTCCACAAATTCGGAAAAGATTGAAAAAGTGCAAAGGGAAAATAACTGGAAGATCGGGAGAATGATGTTATGCCAAGCTCGCTTAGACTTTTTTGATCCAATAGCACCCCTTCATGGGAAAATCCTCAGCCATTTTCAGCCACGACCGCAGATACTGTGCCTATTAAGAATTTTTTTATGTCTCTGTTCCTAGATGCGATCATCACCAGGGGCACGGATACGGATCTTTTCTACATTTGAATGAGGGGAAAGGATTGGATGAACATTGTAAGTGTTAATATCCCGACTTATGTTGTACATCATAGTCGGCAGATACGGATGGATTTAATCCATGCCAGAGAGCCAACATTTCGTTTTCATCCTCTTCGGCGATGACGATGCTATTCGTATGGGTGTAGTGCATGCCTGAAATCTTTCATATATTTCAATGTGAAAATTCTACAGTATAGCGCCAGGAATAACACTATCACACTATAGCACGAGCTATCAAAAGAGCTTGATAAGGCCATAGGTACCACCGATGCTAACAAGATTTTCACGTAAATAGCTTCATTGTGAAAGCTAATGTTCAAGTGCGGCACGTGTGTGGCTTGGTTTACAAGCATCGCTGTTACCGGCATACAAGATGCGCAAAGAATGGCTGGAGTATCACAAGAGCCGCGGATACGAAGATTTGTTTAGATATTCTACGCCTTGTAAAAACGTATCGTGTTGGCATGTCTTGCTTCAGATTACCTAAATATCAGACCTTTCTAACAGTTGTAAATCGTATTACACGGTATGGAAACTCTGGAAACTTTTCCAATGTCAGATCTCCCCAAAAATTGGATATCGTATCTGCGTATTCGGATTTCTGCGGACATCGGCATTACCGAACACTGTTCTGTCTGACAAATCTTCATATAAGTAATCGTACGACCCGAACTCAAAGTAGAACAGAATTACACCAAAACGAAAAGCTTGCCACTGCGTTTGGACAGACCGATTAGGATTACACAACTTGACTTGGTATTGAACACGAACAGTATTAACCCGGTTCCTCGCTGAGTGAGTTGGGAAAACCCGCCACCTCTCTATCGTGACATTCTCCCCTCCCCTCCTCGTTTAATTGTTATAGGGGGATAATGTGAATTTCTTTGTATCTTGTCAAAACGACATAGACTTTGACATCAATAGGTTGAAATGTTCCTTATCAAGACCCACCTTCCAGATAGATTGGGATCGTTTACCCCGCAAAATAACGCAGCAACCAATCACAACGACATGTATGGCAAACGGCGTTGCGATATCTGATTCCGGACTCCGAACTCCAACTATTCAATCGTTCGCCGTGTGAGTCTTATGCCGTGTATTCAAAACCTCAAATCCGATTCATGATATAAATGAAGTAAATCGTGAATGGTTCCGGTCCCGTTGATTCCCTACTCTCCATAATCACCATGTCCTCCTCAGCAGAACTTTCCCAGCCCATCGTCTTCGACCCTGCGAAGCATCTCCCACTCCTCCCCACGTTCGTCCATCTCCACAAAACCTGCGTCGAATCTCCGCCCCATCCAATCCTCACTTTCCTCCCCCCTTTTCCGCCCGAGAAAATCTCTAAAGTAGAATCATGATGGCAGGATCGCTTCTCCGAAGTAAAAGCTGGAACGCGGCATATTGTTTTCGTAATGCTTCAACCGAAAGAAGGAGAGAAAGTACAAGTAGCAGGTGTCTGTATGCTCTCCACACCAACATGTGAAACTGGACCTCATAGAGGATTTGTGGAGAAATTCATGGTAGATCCGGAGTTTAGGGGAAAGGGGGTAGGGACGGGGATCATGAGGGCAACTGAAAAGGTTGCGGAGGAGATGGGTGCTTGGCTATTGGTACGTCTTTACTATCATAGATTTACTTCGTTCCATATGGTTCAGTTTGCTGACATGCCGATAGATGCTTGATACTGATGTAGGAAGTTCAGCGGAGGGCATTTACAGAAGATTGGGATACATAGAGGTTAGTTAATCTTGTTTTCGTGGTGGAATGAAGATGTTACTGGAGACAGACTAATTGGGGAACTAGTGTGGAAGAATACCGGAGTATGATGTGTGGTCTCAAACGGGGGAGTTGAAAACGGAGGTTTTCTTTTATAAGAAATTAGTAGGCGCGGAGAAGAAAGAATCAAGAAAGGCTGCCGGGAGCTCAAACTGATAGCATGGGGTACTTGACATGAACGACACAAAATCATCGTCGAAAAGTTAAGGATTTCATCAGAAGAGTGGAGAACGAGATAAAATTTAAGAGGAGGCGAAGGAGAGGATGTGATTAATTCATGGGTAGGGCGAGGTTGAGCTTGACTGGGTCTTGCCAAGTATTTTTGCTTAGTCATGATGATATGATTTTGTTGGTCCGTCTATCCTCACTTCTTTCCAACCTACTGCGTATCTTTCACCACCACGCATTCCGAGTCCGTTCGAGGCACTGTTCCCAAGTTGTTGTTTGTGGCTGATTGCTTTTCTTTGCAACTCTCAGTTTGAATGTCCACGCGGCTGAGAATGCTGTGAATTGGACTGGGCAGGATTGAAAAACATGCAATCAAAGTTCATCGAAGAGGGCTCCTATGAAAGAGAAAACTATGTTCATTGATATTCATTCATTTAACTAACGCGATACCTAGCTTGAGAAGTAAAAAAGCATTAACCCAAATCGCCACGAAGATGGCCTCCAGAATAAGGGGATAGACTCGTGCCGCCTAGAACTTATCCCTTTGAAACGTGTACTTTTGATCGCACCATAAGATAGCTCTATCAAACACCAACGTCGCCAGTGAGCTCAGTAGGGAAATGAGAGCTCATGAACTTGCCATCACCTATCCTTACCAAATCAACGCAAGGCTATTTTGTACCAGGGACGAAGGCTGCTGCAATGCTGATTTCCTTACCACCAAATGTTTCTCCCCCAATACAACCTTCTATCTCCAAATTTCGGCCCTTTATTTTCATAACAAGCTCGAAATCGACTCTATAATACCTCAATATTTCAAGACCTTCCTGCTCTATTGTCTCCTGGATAGCTCCAGATCTGATCAATTCGCCGAAGTCTAAATGAATGGTTCCAACCATTTGAGCTCCTGTACACCGTTAGTCAAGCCAAAACGCTTTGAACTGTGAAACTGCATACCTCTGTTCTTAGGGTGTGTGAATTTGTAATGTTGCTCAGTGCTAGTGTCCGAGACATATAACTCTTGTGCATAGATAAAGGTCTTTCGTGTTGCGGGAAAGATGAAATGTACGTCCATACGATATTCTTTGGCGGCCGGGATGATTTCTCCCTGGGTGATAGTCAGTATTATAGCGGGCGAGTGTCGAGAAAAAATTCATCTCACCTTCTTGACTACCCAATCCATCACCTCCAAATATGGCACACCATCACTTGAATCGGTCATTGGTTTAACATTTTTATGTGCCGGAATACCTATCGGATCGTGTTCTTCCTGCAAAAAGAATCCGTAGCTGCATAAGCTGATTCTCTCTAGCTCGTCATTTTCCTTATCAAGCGCCCGCAAGATTCCGCCGCTGGCCATCGCAGTTTCTCTGTCACGGATCCATCAGCTCACTCAAACATTTGACTCATAGTGGGGTCTTACAGATATTCCGGATCATTTACGGTTTCCAGTTCGATGGAAATACCCGTGTCTCTTTCGAGTTTTCTTAGTCGTCTCTCCAATGTCTTTCTGAGAGATGGATTGTTAGAAAATCCTCCAATCAATATCACTTTCTAGATTGTGCCAGCACGAGTTTGCTCTTTTCAAAACACTGGAAATCTTCTCTATCAACACCTTTACAGTGAGTCCAGCTTCTCTCGACAGCTTGATCTGATCGAGCATTAAATCCATATTGCCTCGGAGGCATCTCTCAAATATTCTCCAGAAATCGTTTCTAAATAGTGTTAGTTGCACGACCAGCAAAAGGGCAGAGATTCATCTACCTCTTGATTTTAATGCGATTTGCTGAAAAGCCCCTTTCTGGATTCTCGCGAAGGCCGTCGATACGAAGAAAAATCGGTGTCATATTCTGATTTGTCACATCCATGATCCTCTTCAATGAATTTTCGAATGTTACTGTTTGCTGGTCGACAATTCCTTGAATAGTTCTCCCATTGATCTCTATGTCGGACTTTTCACTCTCCAGACGACCAAACAGGTATTCTTTAAATGCTTCGTTCAAGTAGCTGGAGCCGTAAAGTCCACCTTTGCATGATCAGTAGATGGACTGGATGGAAAAATATACCATCTTACCTTTCGCAACTACCTCTTCTCTTTTTAATTTAAGAGGCTCCGAACCACTAACAGTGTATGTAGTAGCATCAACTGTTCCTCCACCGGCGTCTAAAAGTATAAATGTTTCTTCTGGCTTCACACAGTCAGTTGAAGAAACTTCAATGGAGAACTTCCACTCACAGAAATGCTGTTGCTGTATTCAAGCACGTAAGCTGCCGCCGCTTCAGGTTCTGATACAAGAAAAAGGTTTTTAATGCTACCAAGGTTCGATCGCTGAATGGCGACTTCCATGGCGCTTTGCATTTTCCTGCATGCACTGGGCGACCAGATGACAGGCACGCATAACACATGCTCCACAATTGTCGAATCTTTGAGTCTCCGGTTTTCGTGCAGGTATTTCTTCGCATGCAAAAAGAGCTGTTCGAGGTATTGTACAATAACATCCTCGTTGGCTTTGATGTACTTTCTAGCTTTGAGATTTTTCAAGACTGGTTTCAATTCCTCGCGGATCTTCTCAGTCTCATAACTGGTGTCCAATAATAGTTTCGACCGCATGATACAAGTGTATTGTTTCTTATCCAAATCAGGCTCGCTTAGTTTGCCTTGCACCTCGTAACCCCAGTACATAATCTTTGGCGTTAAACCAGCATCATTGAACCCATCGTCATCTGAATCATCATCGTCGTCAAATCTCAGCATCGGCTCATCGATGTCTGCATTGTTCTCTGTCGCCAGTTCCTCCAGCTTGGCTTTGGTCGGATACCAACTCTCAGTCGGCACGTCAAATCGAGGCTTCTTTTGGATTGACATTGGATCGGTAGCATATCCCCTCACGATTCCGATGTCATCTTTACTGCTCGCAAAAGCAACACAACTAAATGTCGTTCCGAAATCAGTTGAAATGATCAGACGGTCAACTTCATTCTCGTTTCGACTGTCGATCTCCATTGGCGAGTCGCCGTTGATGGCAGTCATGTTGTCTTCTGTTGCAAAGAAGTTTGATTCACGAGGCTCTTGTTTTGGACGATTGGGAGCCTCCGGCGCACGTGGTGAGAACATTTCTGACCTTGGTGAGTTCACTTTTGAATTAGCTAGAATATTTTGGCATAATCGATTGTTTTTGAACGTATTGGACGTTGAGATGGAGTCAGGAGAGGATTTCATGATTATGTAACTAACCTGAAAGATGGGTTTCCGTATGAGGTTGAATGATTTGATGAGTGCAAACTTTCTAACACTTTAGTGAAGAGGAAGGACAATCAAAGCTGACAAGTTATTCGAGACGAAGTATGGTTTGTGATTCGGTATAGCCTCGATCGCGATGTCGGCTTTTTCATATAACATTTAAAATTGTCAATCAGTAATTAATTACAAGTGTACTAGGTACGCCGAGAAGTGTATATACTAGGTAATTCCTACACGAACCGCTAGCGTGTTATCACGTGTCCACATTCACTCATCTTGCGACAATATTTTTTTGAATGTAAGTTTGATAAAGCCGTCCCGCTTCTTATTATGTACTAGGTATCCGATACTCGTATTCCACAAAGATTTCAGAAAGGTATAGAATTCTCGATCCATCAATTCTAACATCAATCAACTTTAACCACCATCAACTTCAACCACCATCAACATCTCTCAAGACCTTGAATGAAACATGGCTCAAAAAAACGTCATCGCAAAATGGCTGGAGAGTCATGTTGTTCAATTGCTCTCTTGGGCTGATATTGCAATCAAACATGACGATATCGATTTTGACAAGACTGTAGTTTCTCACCTCAAGCAAAAGTGCGGGTGGATTATACTAGTAAACAAGTCTCTCGAAAGCTGCAAGGTTTACTGGATAAATGGGGTACCCGCGACAAAGATAGTACTCGAAGCAGAACCATCATAAATAAAGGTTCCATCTGTTTGATTAATATTCCAGATGCTTTGAGGAGCCAAATCGCGCTTGCTTGTGAAGACTTTGAAGTTGAGCTTCGCGCAAGCAAGCAACCGTCAAGATCTACCGACAGTGGCTCGAAGTCGAAAAAACATGGGCGCAACAATTCTCAGGCCAATACTCAAAAGCCAGCACCTGAAGTGCAGGGCGAAAAGACTTCCGGCTCAACTCTTCCCAGGACTCCAATGAAGCTTAGGAAAAGAGATGCTAGTTCGATTCCAGAGGAATCTCAATACATCACAAAAAGAAGAAAGCTCACTGTTCGTTTAAACCTCCTTCTCATAGTCTCTGCCTTTCAAAGAAAAGACAAACTAACAGTTGAACAAAACAGCGCGATGCGACCTTCTCACCAGAACCACAGGGCAAGGAAACTCACGATCCAATTCTTCCTAAAGCACATACCAAGCGTAAGATCAGAGACCCCGATTTTGACACAGAGGTATCTCAATCTGCCACCAAGAAAAGAAAGGTTAATGTTAGTACATCCTCAATGTTACTACATACTAGATGTTTGAATATATACTGATGTATGACAAAAATAGCCTGATTCGACTTATTCACCCGATCCCCTCTCGTGCACTCATCATCAATCTTTTCACATCATCGAAGATAGCCAAGATGAAAATACGCAAACGGCCAGCGAGAATGGTCAAACTACTCCTCGTGTTCAGTCGCCAACATCTGTTCGCAAGGGAAGACTATCACAAAGATGTGATTATTGTCGACGAAGAAAGGTGGCATGTAATGGCGCTCGTCCTGCTTGCTCCAATTGTACGAAGAAGGGCTTGCAAAGTAGTTGTTCATATGAAGACGCACCAGCATTATCCGAATCTCGTGAAAAGCGTTTGAGCTTCAGTGAACCGGCTCATCATGTTGAAGATGACACGACAGATGAAAAAACACGATGCATCTGCAAGAATGCCCAGACCTATACCGACTGGGTTCAATGCAAAAACTGTAGTGTATGGCAGCATTGCATTTGCGTTGGAGTGGGAATTACAGAAGCAAAGAATATAGAATTTTCGTGCAAAGAATGCAGCACCAAAGCCCCTTATGAGGAGCACATTGAGAAGGAGCACATTGAGAAGGAGCCATTGTCGAAAAGCAGCGAGATTTGCGATAAGCCAGGATATGGATCACAAACCGACAGTGTATTGCTTGCTTTGGCGAAAGAGGATGTCTCACGTCTGCGAGAGATTGTCGAAGAAAGCAATTTGGAAGTGGTCGAATTAAAAGAGAGTCTACAGGTCACATCAATGGATGCACGGCGTCTAAGGTCAAACTTGGCGCAATTGGGAAAGAATTCTCCCGAGTATGTTCTTGATAAAAAAGATCAAGAGATTAAAGCCTTGAGGAAGGAACTGGAGACTCGCAGGTTCTTATCAAGGTTTACACAGCTCGGTGACACATCCGACGAGACCTTCAAATATGACAGTGTTCAAAATTTGGTTGATGTGTTTGGTACAATTGATCAACTACCATTCGATGAAGTTCCAGTAATTGTCCCTCCCGGGCTGGATCATTACCAGGAGCTCGAAAAGATCATTCTTGATACTTTCGGTCAAGACGAAACACTCCGACAAACAGCTGAAGACCTTGGAGCCAGCCTTTCATCCATGAAGACACACGTGGTCTTCAGAGCTTTAACAGCAAGCTTCCTGAAACTTTGGGTATTCGAGTCCGATTTTCCGCAACTTGAGGGCTCATCCTCAGACTACGTAAAGAGCATCCGAAAAAAAATGACAGCTGCAGGTGAGTTTAACATCTCCACGTTAAATCCAAAAATGTATTGCTAATTGACTATCAGACGGACCTAAAGCAATGAGAAATCTTGATTTGGCTGCACGTTATGATGTAATCTCGAGTGAAAAGTTCAAACACCAATACATATACCCCGAAGCCGAGCGTCTAGCTATAAAATACTCCGAAATTATGGAACCACTATTCGCCAAGAATCCTGGTAGCGAGATTTTCAAGAATTGGGATGGATTCTCAACTTGGAATGATGATAAGGAGACATGGCAAGATCGTCAATCTCGACTCATTGGAATGTTTCGGGTGGCCTTGAAAAGCAAAGCAGATTCCACATTGAATTTTAGGGATTATGAGTTGGTTGCGTTTGTACCAGGTACTCCATATGACCCTAAATCTATGTTCAACGAAGACGCTCTGTATAGAAAGCCTGGCGGCAACAACAGCGATTGGGTTGTCGAATTTTGCATTCAGCCGGCAATCTATGTACACGAAAAGGAGAGAACAGATGATTTCATTAGCTCCCAAAGCTTTGTGCGCAAGACTGTACGAAGCGGAATCGGTCTGACACCATCTGTTAAAGCTGAGGTGCTTTTACGACCAAAGAATGGTGGCTCTTAGGTTTGATTTGAAATGATAATGGCTGCAAAGTAGGTGGGTTGAATGAGCAGCTCGCAAGGACTTACCAATTCACAAGGATGAAATGTGTACGACTAATGTATAGTAGCTTGTATAGAGATTAGAAAATTAGTGCCGTTGAGCTTCTCAGCTTCCGAGAATTGATATTAATACAAAAGAGAATGTAGCAAAGTTCACATCTTTATCGTTCGTGATCTTGTGAGGTTGCAACCCTAAGTCTTTTTCTAACACACTCTCAAGCTTTCACATTGCGAGAATACTCGTGATTTAGACTCACAAGGAGTTTTTGCATGCAGGTTTCAAATCATCCATAGGAAAACTTTCTCATTTCTTCGGAGTGGTGCTGATCCGGTCATCAATATGTATGCCGAGAAGGGTGACCAGTCGTAGGGCGATTTTACCCCACGAAAATATCAGCATTGAGCCATCTCGGCCGTTCCTCACCGTCTCATCGGGTTTCAACCAATTAGTTGATCTGGACGATCTCGGCATATCTCACTGCTACCTTCCTAAATATATACTCACACAGCATACCATGTTACCTGCATTTGCTTATCTTGGCCTAGTGCCAAAATTAGATAAAACTGTTGAAGATCAACGATGTTTGTACACGTCGAGTTTACGATTTGCTACGTTCCACAGAGTTGGGACTGTTCGTTTCATTCCTGAAAGCCTTAAGTAAGGTCTTCAAACGTTGTCAGAAAGATCTCATTTTCTATCGACTCTCAATATGGCGTTAAAATGTAGGAATACAGTAGATGAGAATACCCCTCACGTCACATCCATCTTCCAAAACACAGGCGGTCACGCAGTCATCGACCATGAAGTCACCACCGATGAGGAGATTCTCGTTTCTTTGGGCTACAAACAAGAATTCAAAAGAGAACTATCAATATGGTCATCTTTTGGAGTTTCATTTTCCTGTCTAGGTCTTTTGCCATCGATCGCATCGACTCTGGGGTATAATCTTGGATATAGTGGAACGGCGGGCTCGGTATGGGGATGGCTTGTTGCGGGCATTTTGATACAATTTGTAGCATTTGCAATGGCCGAATTGTGTTCGAGTATGCCGACGGCGGGAGGTCTTTATTATGCTTCGGCCGTTTTGGCACCGGAGGGTTATGGACCTTTATGTTCTTGGGTATGTTTTCAATTTTCCGAAATGTGAATCTGAATTAACGTCTTGAGAGATAACCGGGTGGTCGAATTTTGCTGGCGAAGTAACAGCACCGTGCGCAGTTAACTATGCACTCGCAGCTATGATATTGACAGCTGCTCAAATTGTTCATCCGGATTATGTTATTCAAACATGGCATGTATATCTTTTGCTTTTGTCTTTGCTAGTCTTACAAGGTCTTCTGGCTATGAATTCTACTAAGTTTGTTGGAGTATTGAATACGGTTGGGACTATCACGAACGTGATTGTACTCTTGATTTTTGTCATTTGGTTCCCAGCGGGTTCGATCAATGAACCAAAGACAAATCCAAGTAGTACAGTGTGGACTTCTGAGGGTATTGTGAACGGGACTGAATGGCCTACTGGGTTTGCATTCTTGATGGGATTTCTGTCGGTTATTGTAAGTCAGTCGAATCCTTGGTACGGGTCAAACTAATATGGAATAGTGGACATTATCTGGTTATGATGCACCATTTCATTTGAGCGAGGAGTGCTCTAATGCAAACATTTCTGGTCCGAGGGCTATTGTTATGACAGCTCAGTTAGGACTGTGGCTTGGTTGGGCGATTATTTTGGTCATTGCGTATACCGTGAAGGATATCCAAGACGTAGTCTCTGGAGAGTATGGTCAACCTATGGTAAACGTTACGTCTTGGAAAGCTTGAAGTTATTGACTGATTCCGTAACAGGGAAGCTTGTGTCTCCAAGTTCTTGGTCCAAAAGCTGGACTAGCTATGTTTTCACTTAATATGGTTGCTCAATTTTTTGTTGGGCAAGGGTAAACCACCAACTTTCCCATATCCCTTCACTTATTTTGTCAAAGAACCTTAGCTAACTCCCATCTTCAGTGTCACAGTCGTCTCATCCCGCGTTGTCTACGCCTATTCCCGCGACGGTGCTCTCCCCGGCTCTCATTGGCTCAAACAAGTAAATCCTCACACCAAAACACCCGTCTACGCCGTTTGGTTTGTCCTCACTCTAGGTGCACTTCTTGGTCTTCTGATGTTTGCTAGCCCGGTGGCCATTGGGGCAGTTTTTAGCATGGGTGCTATTGCGCAATATATCGCTTTTGTATTCCCTATCGCGTTGAAAGTCTTTAGTGCGAAGGGAAGGTTTCGTCCTGGTATTGTTCTCCACCTTCCTTATCTATCTGCCGTTATTCTCATGTTCATTAACTTAAAACTCTGAACTGAACTGATAAAATAATAGGTCCCTGGAACCTAGGCCGTTTCTCAACACCCATTGGTGTCGTGGCCGTCGGATGGGTTGTCCTTATAATTCCAATTCTCTGCTTCCCTTCAGTTACAGGAGCAGATCTAAACGATTTGAATATGAACTACACATGTTTAATATACGGAGGTACGATGACTTTGGCTATGTGTTGGTATGCGATTAGTGCTCGGAAATGGTTCAAGGGGCCAAAGATCAATGTGGAGCACATGATTCATAAAGATGGTTCCGGGAATGGTTCTCGGAATGCGGAGATGGACAACGCTATTGTGGGAAAAGATGGGCAAACGGTGGGTGAGGATGGATCGGATAAAATTAGGGAGGGGAAAGAGTTGAATGGCCAAGAAAAGAAGTCGGGGTGAAGGTGATACTGGTTAGGTAGGGTGTCTCACAGGGCAATAAAAATAGCAATATCTGGGCTATGAGCTCTCTAAGGAGATAGGGAGAAGGAGAGAATAAGAGATGAGATTATGACCCTCGCACAAAATGCAAAATCAATGAAAGCTTCGCACTAAGTGTGACTATCATGTGATAAAAATCATGTGTTAATCAGCTGAACCGGCCAACGATTTGCATGCCTGCATGATGATTATAAAAGAGCGTCACGTTTTATAATACACAAAGCTTTCTTTTTATAAGTGAGCTGCGGTAGGGAAAATATATACTACTGAGGTATAAAGTAATTTCGAGCGTAAGTGGAAAGAACTATGCCCTGAGAAAGTAAATCTACCCGCGTGTAACATAGTGCCAACACTAGCACGTGTTTTAATCATCATCATGAACATCACATGTTATAGTTCTGCTTTATTTTCCCATCACTTGAAATGTCTTGATGCTTACACATTCGACCTCAACAAATCACCGAGTATACTACCACGCCCCGAACAGAGATTCTGCATGATGAGGCTGACGAGGTTTCATTGGAGGCGATTGTGCGATAACCAGTTAGCAATGAAACCCCGCATCCTCAAGGACATCTACAGCTTTACAAGCTAATCCTTCTTCTCAAATCTTCATTCCACAAAGTGCATGCAGATTTTGGAGACTTTGTATCCTTCTCAATACCTAAATTGGCGATCCTTACATTGTTCTAGACTCTGAAAGGTCATCAACGATGCCGGCATCGTGTGAAGTGTTCTCGTCTTCTCTCGTTGTAATCTAACAGCTTTCCGCCTCGGAATGAAGTACCATTAAGATGTCATCACAACTCGAAGCGAAATCTTCGGTCAATGATTATTCTGCACTGTCGGAAGAAAATCAACATCATCTGGATGCTTTAGAACGTTCTGAGGCTGTCGATTTGATGGAAGCCGAATCGCTGGAAGTCTCTACTCCGTTGCCTGAGACGGCTAAGACTCAGCAGCTATGCCATCATTGCGAGCCAATGTTTTCTACAATTGAGAACCTGAGAAGTCTCGTCTCCAAGAAAGGCTATAAGCATAACACTAAAAAAGGAATCAAAGAAGCAGCGGATCGCGGATGCGGTTTATGCAGATACATGTACACACACTATTCTGCTTTTGACAATGAAGATCAAGATGAGCACATATTGGTGTCCGTTTATCGCTTCGGCAAGAAATCCAAGAGTAAACTGTCACTTTTCAAGAAAATCTCGAAATCTGCTAAAAAGAATTACTTGCTTTCAGGATTCAATGGAAATGACGAGTCAACTGAATATCCGTTTAATGAACGCAAAATCACTCGTATTGTTTTCGACTTCCCTAGGTCTTCTTTGGACTTTACTTGCCTTTTGGCTGATCAAGGTAAGTTTATGCTTTGTGCAACCAAATCCTACTAATTTTTGTCTTCTAGGGAGTCCTGCAGCTGCGTACATTGATCAGCAACCTCTTGTAGCCAAGAATAATTTTAAGAGGATCGTCCCCAAATAAAAACATGGTTACATGACTGCTGTCACCATCACTCGAAATTTTGTCGATACTCTAAACCAAAATTACCCACGAGAGTGCTTCAAATAGAACCTGAAATCACAAGTCTAGTTCGCCTACATGCGAGTACGCACGATCAAAAAGATGACTACATTGCTTTGAGCTACTGTTGGGGAGGATCTCAGAGCTTCACAACTACCACTTCTACTTTGGAAGATTGCTTGCGTGGCTTTGACAGTGATGATCTACCCTTAACCTTCAGAGACACAATTTTTATCGCTAGAAGTATTGGCATACGATATGTATGGATCGACGCACTGTGCATTATCCAAGATAGCGAGGTTGATAAAGCTAGAGAGATTGAGAGAATGGGAGAAATTTACAAGAATGCCACAGTAACAATATCTGCGGCAGGTGCAACTTCGGTGAACGGGGGATTGTTTGATCATAGACCCAAACCAGAATTATTGGAAATCCCATTCTGTTTGCCCGACAAATCTCTCTCGAAGGCATATATTTCTAAGATCATATACGTTTTTGAGCATGAAGAGCCTGTGGATAAAAGAGCCTGGTGTTTTCAGGAATCAATACTATCACCCAGATTACTTTCTTTTCGATCTACGGAACTAATATGGCATTGCCAGTCCTTAAAATTCGAGCCCACCGTAAGCAGTCACTATGTATACTTATTCGATACTCTTCGAGCACCTGCAAATGTCTTTGGACGGGACGTGGCAATAGAAATGGCAGATTCATTTCGTCGCGCTAAAACTTGGAACTGGATAGTTCAAGACTTTACGGGGCGTGATCTTACGAATCCTGAAGATCGTTTGCCTGCCATATCTGCTATTGCAAAAGAATTCGCTTTTGTGTGGAATGACGAGAATATTTTTGGTGTAATGAAAAGCACAGTCGAACGGCATTTGTCTTGGGAAGTAGACAAGTTTGCTCGGGATAGACTTGATAAAAAGCATGGCAATGCGAGAAATGATCGTGCTCCTTCCTGGTCTTGGGTCTCGGTTGATTCTCCGGTTCGGTTCCAATTAGGCATACACCATATCAACGTCACTTGTCTTGAGATTGCCAACACACCTGCATGTCGAAAGCTCGTTCTTGAAGCCAAGGTTCTTTCCCTAGAAACTCATCCGATGAATGGCGTGCAAGAGAGGCTTTTCCAAAAGTTTTACGATTCCGCTGAGGATCTTAAGGCTGAAGCATGTACACTTATGTTATTGGCAGAGGGAGAGGGATTTGGCCCCCAAAATTTTGGATGTCTCCAGTACTTTTTGACTCTAAAAAGATTGAGCAACGGACATTATCAACGTGTTGGTCTCTTTCAATTTACTCGGAAGTTCAAAAATGCTTCAAGAGATTGGTTTTCGCCTGCAAATTTAAAAATTCTGTTCGATTCTATTGAGATGTCTCGAGTTACTATTGTTTAGCTACTGTAGATATCTTACGATTTGGGAATATTCTCAGGGTTGAAATTTGAGAAACTATTTATGACGAACGAATGATGATGTATATCTTTGTCGACCCCAGGGAAGAATTTAAAGTGAAAATTCTTGCTAGACTAACACTGCCCTTCGATTGAGTCTTGGAAATAACTATCTGTTTCAACAGGTCCATAGCCGCACTTGAAGTTTTACAAGGGTTTCTGCCTCACGATGTGGCTGGTAAATTCGTTCATGGCTTGAATTAATACAGAAAATGTGGTCCAAGAAGTCAAGAAATAAACAATATGAACACACCCCTATCACACCAGAACAGAAGCCAGAGCACTCAAAATCGTAACACCCCCCTTAAACTTCTCATCATACCAAAAACTCCTCAAAAGCTCCTCCGCATACTTTTCTCCACCAGTAAAAGAAACAGGAACAATACAACCCCTAATACAAGCACATAAGAAATTGTTCATTCCAGATCCCCATAAATCTCCTCCCGAGTGATGTCTTTCCCCAAGGGAATGAATAAGATAATCTAAAACGGTTGACTAGATTCATACACATGTACATCCCTCATCTCGCAAACGAGAATGTTTCCATGAACAAGCAACGGAGCAAAAGATATATATATATGCATAAACATAATCGAAGTATCACTAGAGTCTTTAGAAAATCCTCTAGCATCCACGGTATATAATATAATCCTTCGGGACCGGAATGAGATTTCACAGCTCGCATATATTTATTTGCCGCGAATTCTAGTCCTGGTTCTGGTTCTGAGAAATTGATGAGAGAGTTTTAGGGGGGTGGAGGGAGTGTGTGGATTTGGATTACTTGGATTATATGGATTGGAATCTTTAGATGGGATGTTGGCATGTGAGAAGGTCTGATGGATCGGGAGGATAGACACTTGATCTTTAAGATTGATATATGCATAAATACGAACATCTGATTCAACAACACAATCATCTTTTCACTCTCTCGAATAGCCATTCTGGACGCCATATCATTCTCCCAAGATACATCGGACGATACAACAAGAATAGTACAATCTGCTTTCTGCTCACTGGTCGAATCTAATCTATATCAATCAACTCAAAGCACTCTATACTCATCTCGAAAGGAAAGGACGGAGAGAAAAAAGTACAGAAACGTCGCTACACACAAGAAACACGACACGATACGATGAGTGGAAAATCTTCGTTTTAAAATCCACCAGACAACCAAGCGAGACCAGTCTCGGATATACATAAAGATGGATATGTATCTACAGTTCGACTTTGGCCTCTGCCCTGCCTGGAAACTTCAACTGATATACGATGATATACCACTTCGCTTCACCGTATCTATCATTTCAAATCCACTAAAATTTTCCACCACATTTCATTATCCCCTCGTCCCGAAAGAGCTTCCACCAAGCATCTCCCAAGAGCCCACAATCCATCCGAACGAATCTATCCAGCATGTTCAACAATCTCACTTTTAACCTTCCCATTCTCCACCCAAGTTCTCAACTGTTCGGGTAAGGGCACCTCCTTGTAATCTCCTTCTCCATCTGCACTTTCCAAATCTGGAAGTAGTACATTGACACTACTACATTTACTCGTGAAGACTTCTGTGTTCAAACTCTCCTTTCCCAAGTAAATTTGAGCACCATCAACTTGATCCATCATAATGGTTGGCAACGTGCCTAATACTTGAAGTGCGAAGTTTGGTGCTTTGATAACATCAATCGATGAAACGAGACTATCAATTACCAAGGCAAGACGAGGGGAGTTATCAATAGAAATTGCGTTCGCTTTCCCTTTAATGATAATTGTAGTTTTTGAGCAGCGGGAAATGAGGATTGAGTGTGAGATAGATGCCTCAATTGTGATTGGCTCAGATTCATTTTCGTAGTTTTCCTGTTCCGAAATGTTAGTTACGAATTACTTCCAATCAAACAAAAGAGTAACTCACAATAAACCACTTGTTACCCTCCAATTTTTTAACAGGAGGCTTCTTAGTTCTCATACTCTCTGGCTTAGGTTTTTTACCAGGAGCAGGACTCTTTCCTCGGTTTGAACTAATACTGGATTGACTATCACTTCTAGTAGGAACTGTAGCACCTGCTCTCAAAGAAGGATTTTTATGTGTCATTTGATCAGCATTCACTTTGCGCAATCCTTTGGTAACATCTGCTCCCTTGTTCAATTCGGAGAAAACGGCTCCTAATCCAGCACCTGCATCTGCTTGTTTTGGTGCTGGCTTTGATGGAATGTCGTCAAAGACTGGAGGTGGTGGAGGTGGAGGAGGTGGTGGTGGTGCGGCTCCTCCGGCAGTTGCAGCCTTTGGATGAGGAGCAGGAGGGGCTGGAACCTTTTGATCAACATCCTTAATCGCAACTTCTAAATCTTCACCCTTTGGATTCCATGGAATACCATTTGGGAAGTTATCCTTGGCATATTCGCTGAGATCTTTGAAGATTTGATAGAATGCTTGAATCCATTCGACTTGTTTTGGGTCTCTGTAAATAAAAATTAATGACCATCTAAAATAATTAAATTTAAGAAGACCCACTTCTCCTTGAATTCCTTCAATACTCTGTTTCCGTAGTATTGAGCAGATCCCAATGATTCATCGACATGTTTATATGGTTTGTTATCCATTGTAACCCAAGCAAGTACACCAATACTTTCAGAAACTGCACTGAGATGATTGAAAAATGGTGATGCACGATTGGACTTTCGGATATCATCAACAGCAGTAAATGAATCCTGGAGAGGTTTGATGAGCTTTTGGAATGGTTCATCTTGCATGCCAGGTTTCTTTGACTTTGTAGTAATCAAAATATATCTTCGTTGTCCAACATATGCCTTCAATACACTAGATGCCTTTGATGAATAAGTTAGCTTCAGTTTCCTATCGCTGAACTAAATAACGCTCCGCTGGCTCTCCGAGGGCCGCTGCCGCGGAGGCAGACTATTTGCAAAGAAAATCTTCGAGCGCAGCGAGATATGGGGGTTTGGGGGCTTGCCCCCATAATGACACTTTCCATCAATCAACCAATTAATCAATTGATGTAGAGCTTCCCCCATACTTCCCCACCCACCCCTACCTCTGCCGTGAGAATAGAATATTCGAACATGAGATGCCCCTCATCCACTCCATCTTATGCCACGCATGCATTTAACCATCCCCACCGTGCCACGATGAAATCAATGAGACCCTTGAACCTACCTGCTGCGCAACGACCCCTCCAATCTCATCACTCAAGTTAACATATTTCTTAACCGCCCCCTGAATAAAATTATCGAATTCTGAGACTACTCCTGGGATTGGATCCTCGATGATCTTTTTGATATCTGGTGTTTGGATTGTTGGTGGCGGAGCTGTGCCATTTGTTTTCGCAGCTTCGACCGGAGGAGAAATTAGAGGGATGGACGATGCAGGAGGAGGTGGAATGGTAGAGGAAGCTATATCTTCAAGACGAGAGGTTGCGGCTTCGAGTCTGGAGATTATGAAGGTTAGCTCGGTGCTGGTTATGCGAGGATCGATTGATGACATGTTGATTTAATTTCCAGAAAGAATTGGGATGTGAATGCAAATAAATGTATGTAATGGAGATTCTAGAGGCAGATGGAAGTGGAGTTGTGTGGTAGTATTGAGTTGTGATATTGAAAGGACAGAAATATGAAGCACAATTACCGTTTTATGAGCGTAGTCAAATTATGCATATTATTTACAGCTTCAGGCTGTTGAGACATATTGAAGTGCAGGAATTGTTCCAAATTCTTGTTGAAGAAGGAATGATCGATCGAATAGGAGGTTGTTGGAGGGAATGGAGCTGTCTGGTGCTCGATGTTTCGTTGTGCTAATGCAAGGGGAAGGAGGTAAAAGGCTGCTAATTACGCATATAAATAATGTAATATAGGATGGTAATTAGTAGGGAAATAAAAGAAGCTGTGAATTCACCAGATTGGCATGGAGCGACGAGAAAGAGCTCTTGTGCAATGAAGCAAACAAGTCGAGAGGGAGGGAGATGGAGAAGAGTGTGTATGCAAGTAAGAGAGAATAGGTATTGATGTGATGTGATGTGATGATGTTCTTCATTTAATCCATCTACCTAATAAATCCACGCAAGCACTTTTACACCCACTCACAGTTCAAGCTTCACTCCCTCCTTCACTTAGATGCCTTGCCCTTGCCCGTTTTTCCGACTGCTGAGAGGGCCAATTACATAATCCAAACATAATCTGATATGTACCATGAGACAAGGCTGCCGCTAACCCGTTTGGTCTTGTGTGACACCTGGCTAACATTTGGTGGGCTAGTGGGCTGATGGGCTGCCGTCACTTCATTTGACATTCAGCCTTATCTGTTGACCTGGTACCTACCTAGTTCTGCTCGTACACTCATTTCATTTCATTTCTCAATCTCATTCATTCACTTGAGAGTAGAATACTACCGATACCCAGGTATACAACTCATACCTCACTTCTTTCTTTTATTGCATACATTTTACATTCATTTGAAACATGGACCAAGATGATCAAATATCTAACCATCAAGAAATCGATTTTTGTACTCTGGGAATGTTTATAATTGGTATGTATAAAGTGGTGTTTACTCATGTATCCTTCACATTGTTTTTGGGAGAGGAGGGGCTCATAAATTTCAGAACAACTTGAGAAGTCTCGGACAATTGAAACATGTGGAAAAATTGGTCAAAGTCGACCTAATGTTCATTCATTGATACTTGATTTTTCTCTCTATCCTATATCTAGTGATATTCAAATTCTACATGGAACGGTTTCTATTTTCAAGTAATAACTGTTGGCAAGATTCGTGAAACGGTTGGGATGTTTATGTTGTTCATGCATGAGGTACATACTTTAAATTTGGTCTCACCAAATGTAAGTCTTCAGCCACAACGTATACCATTGGAGCTTTATCACGAACTCATAAAGTTCCTTGGGAAAGAAAAGATGTGTCTGTATTTTCAAACCTCATTGTTTTCAAGAATGGGCGTTACGATGTCTTATCCGGTTTTATCCGGTATTTTATCTTCATGTTCAGGGATGATATATCTAACAAGATAACCATAATCATACTTTGTTTTCTCACGTACAAACTTACCGTCACATTTCCTTTTGAGATAAATGTTAACATTCCAACGTAGATGAGATACACTACCTCCCACCAACTCCCTCAGTGTATGATGTCCTGGGTGGTGCCGGTTCCTATTCCGCCTTAGGAGCCCGTCTCTTTTCTCCTCCACCGCTCTCCAAAACAATCTCTTGGATCGTAGATAAAGGCTCCGATTTCCCCCCGTCAATATCATCTCAAATAACCACTTGGCAAACTTCTTGTCTAATCCGTACCGATCCCACCCGTCTCACAACTCGCGGCTGGAATGGCTACGACAGCAACGAAACCCGCTCATTCAAATACACAACCCCAAAACTCCGACTGGACGAATCATCTATAGCTTCTCATCCTCCTCTCTTATTCGCAAAATCTTTCCACCTCATATGTTCCCCAAATCGCTGTATAGATCTTGTAACACGCATTCTCTCACTTCGGAAATCACATTCTCCCAATCATCCCAAACCACTTTTCATATGGGAACCAGTCCCAGATCTTTGTACACCAGACGAACTTTTGAATTGTACAAATGTCCTTCCATATATCGACGTCCTCTCACCAAATCACTCGGAACTAGCAGGTTTCATGGGCGATCCTGATTCTGGTATGACCCCTGAAGGAGAAATATCAATGGAAGCAGTAGAACGTTCTTGTGAACAACTCTTATCTTCAATGCCATTGCAATCTTACGCGATTGTTGTAAGATGTGGAGCGTTAGGATGTTATGTTGCGAAGAACGGAGGACGAAATAGACGTGCGGAGAAAAATCGAAGAAAACGTCCGGCAAATAGATCTAGAGGTGGCTTAACACTAGATATGAATATGGAAGATTTATTCGCAGGATTACTTAGTGATTCTGGAGAAATAAGCTTCGAAAGAAACGACTATGTTCCTGTCGACCCGGGGATCGAGAAATGGATTCCGGCTTATCATCAAGCTGGAGAGGGGGAGGAGGAGCATAAAGTGGTAGATCCGACGGGAGGCGGGAATGCATTTTTAGGTGGTTTGGCAGTGGCGTTGGCAAGGGGAAAGGGAATCATAGAAGCTAGTTGTTGGGGGAGTGTAGCAGCTAGTTTTGCCATTGAACAGGTGGGGGTACCGGTCCTGGGTGTTTTGGAAGATACCGAGGGGATAGAAGGCGAGGAAGATGACTGGGTGGAGGAACGTGAGGGAGAAGAAGAGGAAGATGATACAAGGGAAATGGAAACGTGGAATGGGGTAGTGGTTCAGGAAAGATTGAGGGAGTTTATGGGGAGAGTAGATATTGCACCCAGTGAATGTCCGTCTAGGTAGAAGAGCTGGCGCCTGTTTCTCAGAAAATAAATGCAGGGAAACTGGTATTGGGGAGGAAAGGGAGGGAAGAAAAAGGTCGAATCTCAAAATTGATGCAGAAAAGACAGAAATCAAAAATGACCTTAATTAGAACTATATTCTACTTCGCTTATATATAATCTTATCATATACATAATTCAGATTCTCTCTACCTACTTACCCAGATCTGATTTTCAGGGGGGAGAATTTTTGTTGTGTGCAATGTCATGTCATATAAGTACCTGCATGGTGAGATTCGAGTGTGACATTTGTAATCAGAAGATTAGGGAGTTGATCATGTAGTACGTCTCGTTACTCTGTCGGTACAGGTTGGATAGTTGACCAGCCGAGGAAGCAAGGGAAGCAAGCATACCACGTGATATCCAAAACCACTTTACGCGCACAACCCGCGTTTCTACGCGATATATCCTTTTGAATTGAAATTTCGCGATTGTCAACACCACAGCAACCCCATACCGCCCCTCTTTAACTTCAACAACAAACCACCAGACATACTTTCAGGTTAAACCTTAACACCACGCCTGTACATAACCTGATATACTCTCTATAATGGACGGCGCACAATTAAGAGATGAGGCTGTCGCCGATCGTGTGCGGTCTGCACAAGAATTTCTTGATCCAAGTATTTTTTCCTGTCAATCCCCTCTATTTACCTACAAGTGCTAATATAAATAATCACAGCTGATGGCGCCGCAAGAAGTTATCGATCCGAAATTACTGATATGCTTCGAAAGCATCAACGACGTTTAATCGTCAGTATCGATGAAGTTCGTGCACACAACCATGAATTGGCAAATGGGCTTCTCGAACAACCGTTCGATTTTGCCCAAGCCTTCGATCGCGCACTATTTCAAATCGTGCAAACACTTCCAAATACCAATGCTAAGCAGTCTTCTGAAGATACTATGTACTATTGTGCCTTTTCTGGAAGCTTTGGGCAATTTGCGTGTAATCCCAGAACGTTATCGAGTACGCACTTGAACAGGATGGTTAGTTTGGAGGGAATTGTTACAAGATGTTCATTAGTGAGGCCAAAGGTGGTTAAGAGTGTGCATTATAACGAGAAGAAGAAGATATTTCATTTCCGCGAATACAAGGATCAAACAATGACTGCTAGTGGAGCCAGTACATCGAGTGTTTATCCACAGGAAGATGAACAAGGAAATCCGCTGGTTACGGAATATGGATACAGCACATACAGAGATCATCAAACAATATCTATTCAAGAGATGCCGGAACGAGCACCGGCAGGTCAACTTCCAAGAGGTGTGGATGTTATTTTAGATGATGATTTGGTTGATAAAGTTAAACCCGGTGATCGAGTACAGCTTGTTGGAATTTACAGGAGTTTAGGAAACAGAAACGCAGGACATAGCAGTGCGCTTTTTAAGACGGTGGTGTTAGCTAATAATGTGGTTCTCTTATCTTCGAAATCAGGAGGAGGCATTGCGACACATACCATTACCGATACCGACATTCGAAACATCAACAAGATTGCAAAAAAGAAGAATCTTTTCAATCTTCTTTCTCAATCCTTAGCACCAAGTATCTATGGGCACGAGCATATCAAGAAAGCTATTCTTCTCATGTTGTTGGGTGGTCTGGAAAAGAATCTCGAGAACGGGACTCATTTGAGAGGAGATATCAATATCCTTATGGTTGGTGATCCGTCCACAGCCAAATCTCAAGTTCTTCGTTTCGTGCTCAATACCGCTCCACTTGCAATTGCAACAACAGGTCGAGGTTCTTCCGGTGTTGGTCTCACAGCCGCCGTTACATCCGATAAGGAAACCGGTGAACGCCGTCTCGAAGCTGGTGCTATGGTTCTGGCCGATCGCGGTGTGGTATGTATTGATGAATTCGATAAAATGTCCGATATAGACAGAGTTGCGATTCACGAAGTTATGGAACAACAAACAGTCACTATCGCTAAAGCTGGTATTCATACTTCTCTCAACGCTCGCTGTTCCGTCATCGCAGCCGCCAATCCTATTTTCGGTCAATACGACACCCACAAAGACCCTCACAAGAATATCGCCCTTCCAGATTCTCTCCTTTCTCGTTTCGATTTATTGTTCGTAGTGACGGATGATATCGATGATTTCAGGGATCGACAAATATCTGAGCACGTTTTAAGAATGCACAGATATAGAGATCCACAGACCGAAGAAGGAGCTCCCGTCCGTGAACAAGCACATCAAACACTCGGCGTAGGTGTTGAACAAGAAGCAGATGCCAATCAAGTAACATCTGTCTACGAAAAATATAACGAGATGTTACACGCCGGTGTAACTGTTACTACTGGCCGAGGGTCGCATCGCAGGGTTGAAGTTCTCAGTATCCCTTTCATGAAGAAATACATTCAATACGCCAAAACTCGAGTAAAGCCAGTCTTGACTCAAGAAGCTAGTGATAGAATTAGCGAGATATATGTAGCCCTAAGAAATGACGACATGCAAGGAAATCAACGAAAGACAAACGCCATGACAGTTAGAACATTGGAAACCATTATTCGTCTGAGTACTGCGCATGCAAAGTCAAGATTAAGTAATAGAGTTGAGGAGGTAGATGCATTGGCTGCTGAGAGTATTTTGAGATTTGCACTCTTCAAGGAAGTGCTTGAGGATGAAAAGAAATCAAAGAGGAGAAAGACTAGACCTCTTGAAAACGAATCGTCAGGAAACGAGAGTTCATCCTCAGATGATGATGATTCACCAGCTCCTACTTCTCACGCACCATCGACGAGGGCAACTCGTACACCAGGTACAGCAAGAACAAGAGCTTCGGGCACTTCTTCGTCTAGAAGGAATGGCGCGACTCCAAGCGGGGTACCAAATGATGAGGAAAATGATGATCTATATTCAGCGAGTCCAGCACGTCGTTCAGCAAGAGCATCCTCGAGTCGCGTGCCAACACAATCCCAGACTTCCTTCGCTTCTTCCTTACCTGCTTCTCAGGCATTGGGAGGTACTTCGAGTCAATCGCAGTCTCAATCACAGAATGTAGAGGAGGGCGACGAAGAAGAAGAACTTGCAGCTGGAACTGCAGCTTTGAATGTCTCGACAGGTATTACACCTAACCGTCTACAAGTCTTCCGTACAACAATGGGTCAAATGATGAACACATCTCTGTTTGAGGATGATAGTGCTGAGGTCAATGCTATTATCGAGGCGGTCAATAGACGTGTTGGAGGTGGTGCAGGAGGTAGTTTTGAGAGGGAGGAGGCAGTAGCTGCGCTGAGGGCAATGGATGAGCGAAATGATATCATGTATACTGAGGGCGATTTGGTTTATAAAATCTAGAATTCGGGATAAGGAAAAGGGATGTGAATGGAATGGAATTTCTGTAGGGAATGAATGGGAATGAGATAATGAGGAGTTGAGTAATTGATCTTGATCTTGATCTGAGAGTTTGGGTGTGTATACGTAAAGTGGATGATTTGATTTGATTTGATGTTCAAATTCGACTACCTAGGTGAAATATTGCTAGATAGATAGACGAGATGAGTGTGAGTCTCGGATGGGAATGATAATACTCTATTGTCTATTCATCTCTATCAAATGGAGCTTGAAACGGTGATACTCTATCGTCTATCTAGATCAAATGGGAACAATAATTTTTCATTCATTTATTATCTAGATCAAATAAATTTGAATGATTAAAAGTAAACTCAACTGGACTCGACTCGACTCGGTATCCATGTCGAATCGAATCGAGATAATTATCATGAGCACGAGTTATTTATTATTTGTTATTCATTGCTTATCTAGGTAGGTAGGTATGCCTGGAACGCTATGTGGGCACGAAGTATGAAGTGCTGCGAGGGCCTAGGTAGAAAGGAGAGGGATGCAGGATGTGATTTGTAGTTTCTTGGAAATAGAATATGTAGTTGAGTGACTTATGGGAGTTGAGGAGGTTGAGGAAGTTGAGGAAGTTGAGGGTTGGATTTTGGAAGAGAGGATTGTTGTGTGATTGAACATGTTGAGTAAGAGATGGGGGGTGGAAGTGCGAGTGTGAATGGGAGAGTGAGAGGGCAGAATGGAAGGAAGGGGGGAAGTGGAATATGCTTTTTGAGGTGAGGGGAGATGTTGTGGAGGCTTGGGGGTTTGGAGAGATTTTACATTCGAAATGCATTGACTTCTGGATTGGGCGAAGCGATGTAAATCTAGGCAAGCTGACTAAACGCTACATGGTGATTTTGATCATCAAAGCTCCGATCAAATAATTCAAGGTTATTTGATCGAAAGCTGAATAAATGGAGACTATACAATCGAAGAGGTGTTGAGAAAGAGGGAGAGGAGATACACGGAACGTGCTCTCTCGCCTTCGAGCAGGTCCTCTGTTGCCGAGTTTTAGACTCTGTGTGTATTGCATATCTTCTATTTAAGTGAGGTTACAGAGATCCTGTATTCCTAAGTTTCAGGGTTTATATGCAACACACACATTCTATTGAATTATGAATAGAACAATAATAACAAATATCAGCACCTGGTGGTTGTCAGAATTCGTCTCGCGAATGAAATGACTGACGATGTCGTCAAGACTCATTTGAAGATGTGACTCCGAATGGACATTTCATCGATGAATGGTTTATCTTTTGTGAGTGAGTTAGGCTTACTTAGTCTTCTCAAGTCGTTCTTTTCTTGACTTCTTTTCTTTTTGATTTATACACCGATACACCAGCATAGCAATCGTTAAGGTATTAATACTCAACGCACTAATACCTAACACACCACTACATCGACCCTCACATCTCTTAACATCATGTCCTATAACAACCGACGATCCCATCCTCCCTCCACCCCCTCCACCACCGCCTCTACCTCTTCCCCCGAAACATTCTCCGAACAGGTCGCCAATCTCATCAGTCGTTACGAATTAGCCCTCCCGCAATTAGCTCTCGCCATTGATTACGAGCGCAACAGTGGCCTAGATGTATCCGAGCATACGCAGACACTTTTCAGCATCTATCGAAAATTAGAGTCAGTCCTAACTTCAGATTCGTTCAGACAAGAGGATGAGCGTCTTCAGCAACGAGGACGCATGATTGTGAAGGACACGCTGCTTTTGCATAGAACCTTTGATCTGCGTGGCGCTGAGGCTGCGGTGGAAAAGTATCATCTTAGGCAGTTTTATTGATTAGGAGGATAGGGGGGTTGAGACGGCTTGGGTAGTATGGGGTGTTGGATTTGGTGAAAGTTTAAATGGAGTTCTTGATTTTAATGGAAGTTGAAAGTAGGGGAAGGAAAGGAAGTGGAGGAAGCGTGATTTTGTAACTGCAGTCGATGTGCTTTGGTCAGCTGATAAATGGAAACATCCTGTGGTTTATCTGATTGTAGATTGCTGGATTTCATATGTATGTGTGGGTGTGACTGTTGTATTTGTGTGTGCTAATAGTCTAATGTTCATGACTGTTTATATAAAGATAGGAGGGAGTGGTAGATATGGACATAATGGCGTTAGCCACAGAGGACGACTGACTTATTCTTTAAGATAGAGATATAGAATCAGCACTTTACAAGGTTATCTAGAATGGTGTATGTGCTGATCAGCACATGTATAGGTCTGTAGATAAACTTAGATTGTACTTGGAAGTTTGTAAGAGAATTTCCCGTTCGAAAGAGTATAAAAGCGCGGTATACTGTTTTCTACGAAGATTAACAATCCATGAGGATAGAGAATATCAACAGCATTGATACCATCCAGTGGTTAAGAATCCATAAGACCACGGCATGTTGAAAAGCTTATCTTCAACTAGTGGTCAAGGATTTAGACTCTATCATTTTGTAATATTGTGGGGTGACAGTGATTTTCGTTGTCATGCGATATTATATATGAGTAGAAGGGGAAAATGACAACAAGACCACTCGAACAATTATGTTCATTGACAGTCAGCAGTCGAAGGGCGCCATTGAGAAACATCTCAATCACCCTTTTTCCGCACTCTTACGATTTTTATTGTTGGGGAATCGACGATGCTGAATACGAAGGCGCATGCCGGGTTTCTTGGACGGTTCTTCATCAATATTTATATCATGATGATGAGACTCAAGGCCTTTTATATATCTCCAACCTCGAGAATATTCTACAGTCTGAGAGGTGCAGACAGGGCGGAATATTCACTAGTCCTGGACAAAGACTTGTGTGGAGCTTTAGCGCGAAGCTAATAAATTCTTTTGGAGCATGAATCTATTATAAAGCTTTAGCTTCTCATGGCCACACTGAGAACTAAAGTAGAAGGACGTTCCAGTATTCCTCAAAGGGTGTTGCGCATTGGAAGAAACGTGGTAGGTGGCCTTTTGGTTTGTCTGTTGCAATTAAAGGGCAGAGATTGGCTTAATAGTTCGGCCTACTGGATCGAAAACATCTTGTTGATGGGTGACAACAAAAATTGAATTCACTTTCCATTGTGAGATACACTCGTTCATTGTCACCGAATTTGCAATTCTTCTTAAGCTTGATACCTGCAAGCATGTTAATTTTGAAGAGCCATCTGTGAGAGATGAAGATGTCTTTCTGCCACTTCGCGCTTTGAATTAGCAGTCCCGTAGTCTTACATGGAAATGATTTCGACGAGAGCTCGTAATTGTAGTTCATAAGCTTTGGCCATGACAACTATATATACCAATGAACATTGGATGTGACTTCAATGCTGCGGGGCAAGGCCCAATGAATGTGAATCAATTTACCATAAGCCACTCGTGCAATAGGTGATCTCCGAACTGCACAGATAGAGAGTGTAGATGCTATTTAATGCTTCCATGGTTCAAAAGAGAGATGTAAACTTGTATTGTAAAGGCATGGACCGAAACAGTAAACCTGGGTAGCGGGGAAGGTGTGGAACTTGATCATCGCAATTACTGGGAGGGAGAAATAACATTTGCTGAGGAAGATGATTACCACTCATAATGGATGGACATGTTTTGGTAGTTGAATATCATCTCGGAAGAGGTTCTAAATGTTGAGTAGTGAGATGAAATCCGCGAGGTTGGTACACTGGTAGACAGTCGTCAAGGAAAATTCACAATGAAATCTATTGTGTGGCAATATTGAGGACACATGCTGTCGAAGTCCTGACGAGATGACTTTCAAAGTCTAGGCTCAGATTTGTACACGACGCTCACACATATAAAAAATAGAATTTACGAGGCAGCATCGCTTACATTATGAGGAACTCGTCTCGGAAGCGGCGGATTTCCCAAATTCATATACGCTCAAACCCAGGATAGAATAATGAAAGTTCGGTCTCACAGCCAAGTCTGATGGATAATTTTTTCGTATTGAACAACAGTATAAGAGTATCTACCTCTGCTTTGAAATTTTCAATCCACCACCACATAGCTTAAAGAACAGCTGGGTGATGAGCTTCAGTGGATCAATCAAGTAAGCCTAATAGGCAAGTTAATTAATCTGTAGTGAACTAAACCTGACCGTTTATCGCAAATCTTTACAATTATACAAAGGAATGAAGAGACGGAAGTGTCCTTGCGAAAATTGCTTTACCGGATTGCAGATTTCTGTTGAAATCAAGTTATTACCACCGTTGTTAGTCACCATCACTTGAGCAGAAACGATACCAGATCATGATACCGAAATTGATGTTCAATCCATGAGGTCTCGAAGAAGCGAGGTATAGAGTAGAAACACTCGCCTCCAGTTTGTTTAGCTAGGACTTCACGAGTAGGGCATCTCCATTGACCAACTATCACAATGTAATCCTCTGTATCACAAATTCAATAACTCAATAATTTGAGAGATCCCCGAGATTAGTGATGAATACCTCAAGCTAAGAACTAAAATAGTAGACATCAACGAAGAACACTTTAACACACATAATACTGAATGGTATACAGACAATTTAATTGTAACTCTTCATGAGTTATCTATCTTCAAACGTTGAAATCCTAATGTATGAATTGTGTTGATGCAATGAACTCTCACTGTACAACTCTCTTCCAGATAACGGCCTGGGATATGACTAGAATGATCAACATACACTTCCACTGAAGTGGAGCTTAAGTAGAAAATCGAAATGTAACAAATTGTTGGATAATCTCGACCCAGGAAGTGGAAAAACAATGAACACGCATTAAAAGTGAGGAGTGAATCATGGTGTGAATTGTAAGATAGCAGCATGAACTGGTTGAACTAATCTATCAATAAGGTGTGCTGCACAATTGTAGAGGGTATTTCGGTGCAAAAAGCTAATGTCCTCAAATATATTTTACCTCGAGTACTAACCGCGGTAACCATTCTTCAACATAGAAGCATTCGTACAATCATAGACAATATCAAACCAACAACACAGACCAGTTGCCGTTCGATCTGACAACGTAGCTTTCTCTCTTTCCTTTCCGAAGATGCCCAGAATGTCATGTCACAGAACACATCAAACTCCGTTATGATAAGGAGTGAAATCATTGTTCTCGAAGTTGCCTATTCATTGTATGACGACCCAAATATGTACACTTCTTTCCCCATTCTCGAATTTAGTTTCCAGTGACCTTCTCTACCACACGATCGGTAATGCTCTTATTCTTCTGTGCCTCGTGCTCCTTGATTTGTTTACTCCAGCTATAATCTTGTCAGTCACATTCCACTTCCAGTATCTTGCAGCCCTCTGCGGCCGGCTCTTCACTCGTCCAGCGTCTCCGAGTTTTCTCTAGAGTCCCATTTGCAAAAATTTAAACCAAACTCACTATCGACTTGGGAAAAACCTTCCCTCTTCCGGAAACTTCGTCCTGAACTCTCTCTCCGCACTCAATTTCCACATTCCAGCAGTAATCCCAACAATGACCGTCGCCATGATCGCGGTATTCGCTTTCCAGTTACCTGGTTGTGAATACCATCCTCCAGCTGGAGACCAGACGTGTTTGGGATATCTAACATCATGTTGTTAGATAATGTGCTTGGGCGGACTTGCTGGTTGGATAAAGGTCGGTTTGGTGGAACTAAAGAACTTACGGAATTTTGCCGCCGCCGCCCTGGGACATTTGTTAGTATTTCCTGGCAGTCATTGCAGTTTGAGGAGGAGAAGAAGATACACACCATTTTTAATCAATTGCGAAATGTGCGAGGGATTTCTTAAGGTATTTGATTCTGGTCAATTTTGACGATGTCGTTCCTCGTTCCTCAGATATCCAGTCCCCACTAACCGCAAAGGTACTAGTGCAATAAACATAGCATCACACACGAGCTTGGGCGAGAAATTTTGGAATTTGTTATCAAAATCGCCGGTCCAATTTCTATCCGCCACAATTACTCGATCATAATTCCTACACTCGAACTGGAAGTGTTGGAAAGGGGAATATAGGAGAAATGATGAAGAGGTTACATTTAGAAAGATGGAGCAACCAATTGCTTTCTCAAAATACTAGATCGGTTTCTACTTGTCCGAGGCGGCATGCTCTAGCACAAAATCTTCTCCCAAGGACGACTTCGATACCTGCATATGTCCGTATGAATTCAACATCTACACTTGCTCCCAAATCAGAAGAGATCGTTTTTGAAGATGGCGAACAATCCCTCGAACCAACAATCCAGCAACCCTCCCCCAAAAAACCCTCCGCGAAAGTAGCAGCTCTCCACGCCCGTCTTTCTCTCCCCTCCAAATTACCCCTCCAAACACTCGCTCAAACCCTCATTACCCCCTCCGCCAACAACAACCCAGCTTTCAATAATGCAGGACTCTCTCGTATTGGAGGCGATCTCCTAAATTACCACGTCTCCGAATATCTTATTTGTACATATCCACGTTTACCATTGGCCGTTTTCTACGCAAGCGTTTTGGCATATAGTGGTCCTGATACTTTACATCTGGTTGGAAGAGATTGGGGTGTTCAACCTGCTTTTGCTCCTGGGCAAGAAGTCGATGTTGGATTACTTCAATACAAACATTTGTCGCCCAATGGAGAGACCGGTTCTACAGGAAAAACTACCAGAAAAGAAGCGCCTTATTTTAGAAGAGGAATGGCATCTAGAGTCGTCTATGATGATGAATTCGGAGACACAGTCAGGAAATCGAATCAAGTCACCAATCCTCAACCAATGAACAATGCCTACGCCTCTTTCGTTAAAGCACTCATTGGTGCAGTCTATCTCCATGCAGGTCGCGCAGCAGCAAAAACATTCATCGAACAACATATCTTATCCCGACACCTAGATCTCGACAAGCTATTTCAATTTTCCCAACCAGTCCGCGATCTCGCCCGTCTATGCGCACGCGAAGATTTTGAAGCACCAGTTGCTAGAATTTTGAGTGAAACAGGTCGACACTCTCGAAGTCCAGTCTTCGTAGTAGGAATTTATAGCGGAAGAGAAAAATTGGGTGAGGCACCAGGTGCAAGTTTGAATGAGGCGAGAATTAGAGCTAGTGTTGCGGGATTAAAGTCTTGGTATCTTTATAGCCCAGGACGTAGGTCGTTGCCAAGTGACATGGAAATTCCAAGTGGAGGGAAAGAGGGAGTGAAGAGTTGGGAACCAGTACATGTGGATATTGGAGAGATCATTGCTTAAGAGCTTCGATTGTATGATGTGGATGTGTATACGACGTGTGTCGATGAAATGAGCACGTGCATGGGACAGAAGAAAGCAGAGAGGAAATTCTTACATTTCTCATCTTCATATTGATATAAATGAGGGGATATGATCAATGGCATGATCTATTGTATATTACTATGCAGTTGCATACTGGGTGGGGGAAGAGCGGCAGGTGATGGTTTACAAATGCATTTGGATGGCGGGACTACAAAATAAAAGCCAAAAGATCTGAGAAGGAAACCAAGCAGACGTGTTGATACCTATAGAGTAAATCAGCAGCAAAAGAAAGAAAAAAAAGACCAAAAATCATATCTAGCTCACTTGATGAATACTCATATGATATATGAACAGATAATGTCTCCACGCAATATATTAGTTATTCCTTCAAGTATACAGACAGAATAAAGGAAGTCATGATTCTTTAAACTTTCATCACGCCCATACAATTTCCCTCTTTTGATTCGCATCAAGCTCCGTTTCTGAAGGTTTCCCAATCACAAGTATTCCCTTCGCTCGAATTGGAATTTTTAAATCCTATGTCAGGAAGTACATGGCATGATGAATCGTTTTACATGTTACATGTAGGTATCATTCAATCTAACCTAATTAGGTCTATCTACCTTCTGCTGTTATTACCTTCTACTTCCCTTCCTTCCCTTCCCCTTCCCCTCCTCTCCCGTCCCCAGACCTCAACACCATCCCCATCATCTGCCCATCATCTACCCATCATCTACCCATCCACCCAACTACCCTATCCTATCCTACTATATAATAAAATAAAACGAGATTCACACATACCCTCCGATCCCATTTATTCTTCTCACTGTCATTTAAATGAATCGTGGTGCTTGGAATATCACATCTTACATAGAAACAGCGAGAGGGGGGTTATCCATCTCGACTCTCGAGCTGAATTACTACATCCACCACCCACAACTCAAGGCTCCCCAAAAAGCTGCAGAAATCACAACAGCAGGTAGAGTAACTGAAACATGAAAGTAGATATCTTGTCAAAGTCGATGTTTTGCTTTTTGGGCGAGGTGGGAGGTAAGGAAAGGTTGTAGAAAGATAGGAATGTTTTGTGAAGTGTAGTGTAGTGGATGAGAAGAAAGAGAAAGGAAGGGTGGTAGAGATGAGGTATCTCTGAACTTCGTACAGAGGATGGTCCGGGGGAATATGAGGATTTAGATCAAAGAATGAGGTTCACAGGTGCTATTGGATAGTGTAGAAAGAGATGCGTGACTTGAACTACAGCAGGATCACTTCCATAGGTAATTAGAGGGAAGCTACCATGCAGTCCGTTCGATTATGAAAGCTTGGTTGATCTTTGAATGTAAGTTTTATATTGTAAAATTTGTTCTCCTCTTATCATTTGCTTTTAGCGAAACGAAAAGGCTTACAAACTCTCAGCTGTATTCGCTAAACCCCTTTACCTATCAATTTTGGGTTTCTTCCCTCATTGTTTGCGCACTTTTCCATCCATACACACGTCATTCTTCAAAATGAAGTAAATGAAATCCCCATTATGTAAATCAGGGCTCGAAAAATCACCACTCATGTACCAATATGCAATGACCATGCCGTGAAATCCATTTTACAAATGCACTGTTGCATAGATGCCCCTCCCACCGAAAAAGAATAAAAAGAATAAACTCGTAAACGCCCTTGAATAACCGTGTCGTTTTGAAACAGGAAACGCAGGAATCAATGTAAGACTGGACCGGATATTATTTAAGCTTGGGCTGGGACCTCAGCTGCAGTCGTCTTCTCTTTCTTATTTTGATGTTCATCGGCTCCTCCATCATCTTCTCTGGCTCTCTTTTTATCGTTTGTTGGAGGTGCGGCGGCAGTTTCTGTAGCAGAAGCTTCGGTCTTGACTTCCTTGTCGTCACTATTTATTCGTTAGTATTTGATATGAAATAGAAAGATATAAAGCATACCCGTTCTTCTCCTTATTGCGATCATCGTTTCGTGGTCCACGATCATTGCGACCACCCTTTCTATCATTGCCATTTCCTCTTCCACCACGGCCACCACGGTTGCGATCACCGCGTCCACCTCCACGACCACCTCGGAATCCGTTCTCTCTGTCACTTTCACGTCTCTTCTTCCAGTCGTTTGGATCACGGTCCCCATCGCCTTCCCCATTACGCTCTTTCTTGACGAAGTTTCCACCGCGACCACGGCCTCTGAAGTTTCCGCGTCCTCCCCGTCCTCTGTGTTGACCTGGAACTAAGGTACCATTTCGGATTTCTTCATTCTTCTCTTCCATATATTGAGTTTTGGACTTGATTTCCAAAACATGCTTTCCCTTCCATTGTGGCTTTGGGTCAAGAGCGAGAAATTTTTGAGCAGTTTCTTCATCCGCAAATTCGACAAAGACAGATCCTTTGAAAAGCTTCTCTTCGGTACGACGAAGACGGACAGAGTTGACTTCACCGTATGGAGCAACGAAAGCTTCGATATCGAATTGGGAGCTGGGCTCTTCATCACCGAAACCCTTAATGTAAACTGATCGTGCCTCACGTTTTGGAGACTTTGCAGATGGATCAAAAGCCTTTACGCGCTTGACAGTCTCCTTTCCTTCCTCTCCTTCAACTACAAGGAGTTTGCTCTGCTTGAGTGCTTCGACGACCAAGGAGTATGGCTGGAATCGCTGCATGCGCTTGAATGAGTGGATAGTTGCGATTGAGACTGGCTTATTCTCTGCACCTCCAGTGGTTTTCATTAAGAATTGATCGGTTGGTAAATTGGAATCACCGAAGTAGAATTCGACCTTCACACAAAAAGAATTAGTAAAGATCCCCCGACATCAAAGCAATTCTCTTACTTGTCGGCGAATTAATCCCATATCATTAGACGCAGGAAGAACTGAAGCGTCATATTTGCTGTTGTTCTGACCGTGAACCTCATTGGCATTTGTCTTCAAAACTCCATTGTCGTAAAATCTTGGCTCGTCATAGTTGAACTTCTTGTCCTTCTTCTCATCTTCCTCCTCCTTCTTGACATCGCCATTGGTAGCCTCTGCGTTCTCTTCCTTGGTTTCAGTTGTAACCTCAGCATCTTCCATCTTGTCGTCCTTGATTTCTGGCTCGATAGCTGATGTTGTTTCTGGCTCAATTGGTGCTGCTGCGGTAGTTTCTGCTTCGATCTTTACTTGATCGTTGGTAGTAGCTGGAGCTGCTGCGACTGGCTCTTGGCCTTCCATGTTGATATCAGACATGATCGTTTGCGAAAAGTTGCGTAACTAATGTATTTTAGTATGTGAATGTAGCTAGCAAAATCGAACGAGTAATTGCGACAATGATTTATCAATTGAAACATACTGTAGATTCTAATTTTATTATCTGAACAGATAAAATCCGTCTTAAGTGACTCGATAAGGCGAACGAGGCGGGGTGAAGAGTCAGATAAAAAAAAGTGTTGCGCGACCCTTGAAGAGGCTGGCAATCTTTTAAGAGATATTATCAAGTAAATTGATAAAGCTCACTGTAAGATCGATCAAAGATATGAATGCTAAGTAAAAGCTTTTAAAATGTAGTTGTATAGAAATTGTTGCAGAATTTCCAATGCGAAAGATTTAGATTGGATTTTATTCAAGAGCTTAAAAGGTTTTGGAAGAAGCTACAGCGATGGAAAATTAATTTGTATGGTCAATTTTTTTTGCTGGTGGAAAACTAAAAGGTCCACGCTAGTGTCATTAGCGTACTTTTTTATTTCGAGGATTAATGAATTTCAACATCATCGTCGTCAAATTGAATCTTTATTCAAGCTTGTTATACTGAGCGACGACCACCTCATATACAATTAATCATGAGGTCAAGATTTCATCAGTTGAAGAAAGTGGTATGTGAGAACTTTGCTTCCTGATATTGCCCTTCCCCGCCCTACAATGCACTTTACATGATCAAGGGACATAATGGGCTAATTATTTCATTCCCCCCTTAGAAAATCCGCCAAACATGGAATAAAATCAATTTATACAATCTCTCAAGATATAAGCCAAGGCCGGAAGGTGTTACATTCTTTCAACAAAAATGGAAAGCAAAGTCGATAAGTCGAGCATACCATGGAGAACAAATTCGAGAGGGGCAATGGTCGAGAATGTTCAGGCCGAGAGCAAAAGCTGTTATCCCTATGGATCATAGATATTTAGCTGAACACGATGGCTCAGAGTTGGCTGCTGGACGAGGATCCGGGGTGGAACAGTTGAACAGTTCTTCTCGTCCACAGTTCAACAAGAATCAAATACCTTATATGTCCATGGTTTACGCACCTATCGAAAGACGATTGGATACAGCTATATTCAGAGCGCTATTCGCAAGCAGTACGAGACAAGCCAGGCAATTCGTCGTTCACGGAAAGGTTAAGGTCAATGGAAAGAAGGTATGGACTCGATGATGTCTAGGGCTAGAATTTACTATATACTCACACAATATCAGATGCCATACCCAGGATATCTTTTAAATCCAGGAGATATGTTTCAAGTGGATATTGAGAGAGTTCTGTTCGCAACCGGCGCCCCAAAAACCGCAGACCAAATCAAAAGTGGTCGAGGACTCAGAAGATCTCTTCGCGCAATGAATGATCAAAAAGCAAAAAATGCTGCCGCCAAAAGAGAAAAAGATGCAGCTGCAAAAGCCGCGACAGAAGGTGGTGAAGTCGCAACTCCCACAGAAACTCCTGAATCCAAAGAAAAAGAGCAAAAGGAAAACCTTCGCATGGAATTCCGTACCCTTCAAGAACACGCCGACGTTCTTTTAACCGATAGCAAAAATGCCCCATCCGGCAAACGCAAGATCGCCCTCCGCAAACTTAAGCGCGAAATTCGAGCTATTCTCTCCCAACTAAACCGCAAATCCGTTGCAGACTTAACCTCCATGCTTAACTCCTACACCACTAAACTCGCCAAATCCGAAGATTTGGAAACAATTGCTTCAGAAGCCCCCGCAGTCATCAACGCAGAAGACGCACCT